GCACTGTGTCGAGAGTTTATGAGTTAGCCGAAGTTACTTATGTGAACATCTACCATATACGTTTCCAGCCACCTGTATACACCACTCTCTAAACTCTGTTTTGATGTAAACCAACACTTTAGGAGCGTAAAACTCCATTATGGAGTTTTAAGGTTTAAGGTTTTAAGGTTGATAGATGGACAGAGCATACAGTCAGTTTATGAAGTTTGCTGAATATAGCTTCTGCTTATAGAAATAATGCTAATGAGATGGCAGTGAGAGAGGTTCAAAGCAGTGAATTAGCTGCCTATATACCCAAAAAATGAGCTGAAAAACCGATGTGGAGCTGAGATAAATTATATGAGATAATTATCAATTGTCTTACTAGAGCTATCACTTTTGACAGTTATATTTAAATGACCAAAAATACATGTTTGGCTTTAGTAATTTTGCATTTACAAAAACAAGTTCAGTCAGCACATCAAATGTATCTTTTCGATTTTCTCAGTCTGCTTTTGTCTTCATTTATTTATAGGAATTTAATTTATTTATTTTACTACTGCCTCTGTGAACTCGAGTTTGACATTCTCGTCCATCCAAAGTCGTTTTATCAAATAATGAGCAGAACTGTTACATTCGTTGAGCAGAGGTTCACAATTTGAATGTAGAGTGATTAGCTGAGGGTGGCAATTTTACAAGCAGCACACCGGCCACTAAATAAAAATATGCCCTGACCAACTGGAAACCCCTTAATTTAAATAAGTACAACCTGAGAGTATACGCAACTGCTTCGATAGTGCCAACACACATAAAGAAACCTGCAGACCTTGTGCCTGCAAGAATGATAATAAGAAAGCAGACCAGTTTGCTTCGAGTTTTATTTAATAAACTATGTTGTTTTTCATATATTATCAACCTGTTTGAAGATGTTTTGTGTGTTGTAAGACCCTGATGTGGTGTGATGTATCAATACCCCTTAAAATCACAGCATGAGCCCGCTGTGAAAGCTTTGAATGTGAAACACCTCGTGCAAACAAAGTATCTCTGCCTCTGATCCAAAAGGACCTTGCACACTGTCTCCCCTCGGTCCCATGCGGTCAAGGAGGCATTGAAAGTGGCTCGGAGGGACAGGCTGAATTAAGAGAAACACAAGAAGGAGGAAGCCCCATTCTCTCACTCCATCACACGTCTCTTCTCTTTAGTCGTCTGGCCGGGGCCTAAAGTGACTTTGCCTTGATGTGACCAGGACAAACCGGGTGTGATGCCGTGACGGCTCTGCTAAGCGTGTCAATGTGTGTTTTTTGTTCTTGCATGTGCTTGTGTATTTAGGGGCAGGGTATATGGTGTGTGTGTGGTTTTTATGGGGGGGATCGGGGCTCTTGATTTTGGTGAGGGGAAAGGAAGGGGGGTTAGGAGGACAGTCACTTTTGATTTGGCTTCAGAAGGGGTGACAGGGACTTGGAGCTCCGGTCGCAATGCTTTACTGAAACAATCGTCTCTGACCACAAAATAAGCGCTCTCAGACTGTCAAACCCTGGCCTGCTGATGACTTTCCCCTTGTTTTTTTTTCATGGTGACATTTCATAGAGGGATGAAAAGCTTTTTTCTGCTCTGTGACATCCTGAAAAGCAGCTTTAGTGTCTGTAGAGCCTTGGTGAGGCTGCTAATGCTTTGGATGAGACACACATGTCTCTGCCTCTCTCTCTTTACCTGTTTGTTCGAGCAAGTTCATTTTATCTTACCTTCCCCTATCGTGCCAAGTGGGGGAAAAAAGTATCCAGTTTTGGCCTTATTGATGGTCACGCCTTGAGGGGTAAGATGGAGTAGGTCTCAGAGAAAATAAATAGTGAACACTGGAGTGGCTTTTCTGGGTGTTTATGTGCCTATTGTACCCCCCCACTTTCAAAACACTGACCAAAACACACCTCTTCAGACTGGCTTGGTGAATTATGTTGTGTTGCTGTTTTAATATTTATTTATTTTCTTTTTTTTAATTCAATTTTATCATGTTTTATCAAACCACTGTAAAGCGTCTTTGAGCACCTGAAAAAGCGCTTTGAAATTAAATGTATTATTATTATTATTATTATTGTAATAGAAGCGTTGGGATTGGTTCATCTGGAAAAGGGGTCTTTGACTGGAGGGAATTGGAAATGCTGAAATTAAACAAGCCAATTTGCCAAGCGAAGAGTTTAGAGGTCAAAGCGCACTCCATTAAAGTTCCACCTCTCTCCTAACTACTGACTCAGTATGACTCTGAGTCTGTTGAAGCAATACATCTCATAAGACCTCTCCCTCTCTTCCTCCTAGTCCTTTGCTGCTGTGCTACCCTTCACTGATCATTGTTTTTGTTGCATTTGAGGCACCATTTAACATGGACCCACATTCACATCACATTCATAGTCGCACATTTGCTGAGAACGTAATTCTCCTTGTCCCACATACTTGGTTGCTAGATTTCCTTAAACCTGCCAAAATCCTGAATGTTTTACTGTATAAAAGGATTTTCAAATATATATTTTCTTAGTTTCCTAGAGTGTTATCTTGTTATGCAGATCTTTGTGGTTTGATTTATGATTTTGAGACCCAATACAATAGAGCTGGATCTACTTTCTCCCCCCAAAATACTGACAGTGTGGATTATCTTGAGTAATTGGGGCACTGTTTTTCAATTAAGTGAGCAGCACACTTTTAATTGCAATCCCCTCCAATATAATGGAGGGAAGGCAAACATCTCTGAGACAGATATCCTTTAGCTAGGTAGGTAGAAAAGGTATTGAGGTATTTCTCTCAGTGAATAAATGACTTTTTTCTGTCGTGTTTGTGATTCAAACAGTCAGAGCCAATCTTATATACCGGGACTATTCAATTTAATGTGGCCAGTGGCCCTGAGAGAAGAAGAGCAAAGAGAGGAGTCGCTGTGTCTTTAAAACCCTCGGTTTCTCTGCAAAGGTGAGAGGTGAAGACTCTCAATACCTCCATGAGAGCAATACAGAAAGAAAATAATAACTCAAGGTTGGACTGCCAATAGATGTAAGCTGAAGGAGAACACTTTTGCTTCAAAACTTGCCTTTCCAAACTCTGAGGGACACTGTTATTCTTCATTCTCGGCCAAGTTTTTTTCTCCACACTATTTTTGATTTCCTTGACTTAAATAAATGCCAGTCAAAGTGAAAAGTTGTGAGAGAGCCGTGCATTAATACAATTGAAGACAGTTTTGGGATGTTGTTTCAGCAGTTGTCACCGTCACTCCATCCATCACTACAGCCCGTCCACTGCTGTTCATGGGAGGTGTGTTTTGTCCCAGTGGACGTGGGAGACACTGTGGATTTATCTGATCTTACAAGCCATCAGGTTGAGCAGAGCTTTGCTAAACATGACCTGAAGTGTGCCGGCCCCCGAGCAAACGCTGCTGTCACCTTGGCCAACCCGAGCTGTCATCTCTCAGAATGGCCCATGAGAGCTGACAGCTGTGGCGTTCCCAAAACAAATCACTGCTGCGTTTGGTAACACTCTGCGTCCCCACGATTTAGCCCTCACCAAGACGAGAGCGGGAGCGGCGGCTGCTAATGCTCTGGCTAATGCACTGCCTGACTGTGTGTTTGTGTGTTCTTCTTCACCCTCTGTGAGTGTTGGTGTTTGCAAGGACTTATGAGGTTGATCTTTGTTTTTTTTGCCACTTAGTTGAATGGTTCAACACGGAGCAATGTTAAGGTCGGCTTTTTTTTCCTTCTGCTATCCTTTCTATGTGGCCTTTACCTGCATTCCTTCTATTGAGTTAGCTCAATATTACATTAGAAGTCATCTAACCTGAAGACAGCAGAAAATATCAGGAAATATGAATCCAACCATATGTTAGAGATCAAGTGGGACCAAAAGCTAGTCAAATCTTTCTCGGGTGAACATTCTAATCTTGAGCTTTTATTGTAAACTGCAAAAAAAATCCTGTCAATGAATACTGAAAAGTTGTATCTTCATTCACTGACAGTTGAGCAGGTCCACACATTGTCATTAAGGATCTTTTTCTGTGTAGTTTTCAGAAAAAAAACTTTGTGTTCACAACCCAGACTGAACTGTGAAAGATCAGAAACAGAGGTTTAACAGAGACTTTCCGTCTCAACTAGACAGATGATTAAATATTCACAGTTGAGAGATGGATGAAGAAAAAAAATAACAAGGAACTGAGGCTGTTTATTGATAAATGTAATGGTAAAGTGGTTTGTACTAAATGAGGTGTTTTTCTCCCTCTCAACTGTTTTGTGAAAGTGTCACGCTTTTTAACTGACGATTTTAATGAGCTAACCCACACACACACACACACACACACACACACACACACACACACACACACACACACACACACACACACACACACACACACACACACACACACACACACACACACACACCACACACACACACACACACACACACACACACACACACACCACACACACACACACACACACACACACACATCACACACCACACACACACACAGCACACACACACACACACACACACACACACACACACACACACACACACACACACACCACACACACACACACACACACACACACGGTTTTAAAAAAAAAAGATTTTTGTTACTGGGCTGTTTTTAGACATCAAACTACAGCATTTGAGATGTGGTCTCTATTGATGTCATTGTTTTTTATGTCACAGTCATTACTGAGATATCCTTACCCTGGCGCGCCTTGAAAGGAGAGGTTCAGCTAAATTTACTTATTTTTTCCCCCCTTACGTGAAAATGAATCTGACATTCCAAGCAAGGGGTTTTAATATAGCTAGAGCCATCATCCATGTATATGGACTTAACAGAGAAATACCTGAATATGTTGCCAGAAAAGTGGCTTTGATGTCATTTTCCCTGTACTATATATTTCTGCTTCTGTACACTCAAATGTCCATGCTGCACAATTGATGGCACATTATACTATATGTTTTGATATTACAGCTGAAGTAAACCTATTGCCTGTCTTTGTTTTGTTTCCCAGCAGATGTTTTGAGGAGAGGCTTTTGTTCAGCTACACAGATGAACAACAGAAAGGAGGACATGGAGATCTCCTCTCACTACCGTCAGCTCCTCAGAGAGCTCAATGAGCAGAGGCAGCATGGCATCCTCTGCGACGCCTGTGTCATTGTGGAGGGAAAGATCTTCAAGGCCCATAAGAACGTCCTTCTGGCCTCTTCACGCTACTTTCAAGACTCTTTACTGCCAGGTAAGGGACTGCCACACCTGGGAAGACGGGTCGAGGGGAAATGTGTTAGGTCCTTGTTTTTCTCTCCGATCATTCTGTGTGTTTTAAAAGCATAACAGAAGGTGCATTTACCGTATGAAAATAAACAAGACTGTTAATAATAATCTTTCTCACCCTTCAGGTTAAAAAAGGGGCAGACCCTCACCTCCAGACTACTGTCACTCACCTGGACATTGTCACTGCGACAGGCTTCAAAGCCATACTGGACTTCATGTACTCTGCGCACCTACCTCGCCCTCACCAGTAAGAACGTGATCGAGGTCATGTCAGCCGCCAGCTACCTGCAGATGACGGACATCGTCCAGGCCTGCCACAGCTTCATCAAGGCGGCGCTGGACATCAGCATCCGCTCTGAGATGGCCGATGAACTGACCGACTTTGAGATGGGAGCTGTGGCTGCTGCCGGCATAGGTGGAGGAGGAGAAGGAGGAGGAGGAAGAGGAGTGGGTTTTAGCAGGAGCAGGGGGTGGTTGCAGGAGGAGGAGGAGGAGGAGGTGGAGGAATCGTGGGCATGGCTTCTGAAGCCCTGGCCTCCATCATGTCTGGTCGCAGCACCTCCCCTTGGCTCGTGCGCCGCACCAGTCCGGCCAACTCTTCTGGGGACTCAGCCATCGCCAGCTGCCACGAGGGAGGCAGCACGTATGGCAAGGAGGACCAAGAAACCCCCTAAGAGCCATGAGAGCCAGGAGGAAGCCTGCCATGACTCCCAGCCCGCCTGGCCACACGACTACAGGCCTTGTCACCGTCAAAGAGGAACAGGTGTCCCCCGCCTCCTCCTCACATCCCCGGGACACTCCTAGAGGGGCCGCTCAGAGACAGGGGGAGGCTGGGGCTGGAGGCGCTGCTGGAGGAGCTGGAGAGGGGTCCTGGCAACCCCTCTCAGGGTCAGGGCGCAGGAAGAACAGGAAGAACAAGGACACTGTCAGGCATATTACCCAGCAGGCTGAGAGGAACTGGGACAGAGAGCGGGACAGGGAGAGGGAACGGGACAGTAGGCCTGGGTCTCCCCTGCCCTCCATGCTGGCTGTGGCCGGATGGAACTACAACGGACAGGAAATCCCAGGTAAGGCTGACCAACCTGCTCCATACACTGTTTACTGTCTCCCTTCTTTGAAAAGGTTTTACTGATATACACAAAACGCACTCACATGATATGTGAGAGTAAACCATGCTTTTTTCAGATCCAATAATGTTTTTATAATGGATTTGTTGGTTAGGTTATTAGTTTACTGTCACCAAAGCAGGTGGAATTGACTGTTATTGGCACTTAAAAATGCAAGGATGGATGCAGGCCAAAAGAAAGCAGACCTGCACTTATGTCTTGGAAAACACTTTGTGGCTCTCAGTTGATGACTTTGAGGTTTAAGAGTTTCCGAGAGTTGATGCAGTTTCCTTGTTGGCCTCTACTCGTTATCTTATTAAATAATGAGTTAATGATTGGTGAGATAATACGATTGGGCGAGATAATTAAGTGAGTGTGTTGTTTAAAAACGTAACTATAGGGAAATTGTATTTGTGCTTCTCTTTCTAACACTTTCTAACCAGATGGGCAGCAGGTGCAATCAAACTTCTCTGTCGACTTTTGTTATAACAAAGTTAATCAGTGTGCGCAAGACACTTTACAGGCTTTGAATCCTGAGAGGATATTGTAATGCTTGTTAGCAATCCTTACAGTTTAATGGTATACAATGACCTATTTTCCCCTCTGGGTTGAGATTAGCCAGGTTCTACACCTAACGTGTCAGTCCTAAGATGCTTATCTTAAATCTTGGTGGTGTGAGGTGAAGCCTTGGTCAAAGCAGACGGTAAATACAAAACTCCTCTTACTGCAGTGTATGTAATACACACTCCCACACAAACAGGACAATGCATTCACAAACACACACACACATTTATTTTGAGAAAGTGTCTCTTGTTCCTCAGCCTTGCAGAATTGTTTAGTGAACTCCTTTACACCAACAACTAATGCTGAAAAACATTTGACTATGTGTGTGATTGTGGATGGGTGTGTGTGTGTGCACATTGTGCGGGGCCCAAGGCGTCGATAGGTAGATCATTAAAAGTAAGAGAAGCTAATCCTGGGCGCATTAAGGGAGTTGGCTGTGAAATGGGCACACGAGCCAGCGAAAGAAAACAGGATAATTGAATTGACCTGGGTCACTGCACGGATTACCAGCTCCTCCTCGCCATCCGAGGCTCCTCCCCCTCTCCCTGGGGTTTAGGGAAGGACCTTCTGGAAAGGGCAAAAGGAGGGAAAAGGAAACGAGAATGGTGGATAAGAGGGTTGAGGAGAGGGACAAGAAAAACAGAGCCAAATCTTAGCATCCGTACGGGCTTAAAGGGTTTGTCTGCTTAACTGTAAGTGTCCTAACCCAGATTTTGTAACCTTCAGTCACACACTATTACGAGGCGAGTACAACCTTTATCTCATCTTCACACACACACACCACACACACACACACACACACACACACACACACACACACCACACACCACACACACACACACACACACACACACACACACACACACACACACACACACACACACACACACACACACACACACACACACACACAACACAGCACACAACCACACACACACACACACACACACACACACACACACACACACACACACACACACACACACACCACACACACACACACACACACACACACACACACACACACACACACACACTTAATACTTTTGGACAGTTTCTTGTGTTGGTAAAAGAAAAGAGTTTATTCTGACTGTGGTGACGAGGCAGCCATTACCAGACAAATGTTTTATCACCTAAAGGTTAGAGGAAGTCTAGTGTTGCTACTGGTGTAGCGTCACCTGGTGTTAGCCAAAAGACAACCATTTATCTGCCTTTCAACTAGGTTTCAAGACCATACTCACAATGGGTGACAAATCAAGAGTCTTTGTACCTTGAGGTTATTAACTATTTGGGTCTGCCATTTAGCAGTATCATGTTACCAGTGGGCTTACCTGAAGTTTAAGAATGGCAGTGTATGACAGTCAGGATAGGTTTAATATTGTGTGTCGAGTCAGTTTGCAGGAGGTGGTTTCTGTGTGTTTAGCGAAGGGTCTGGGGGATTGCTGAAACAGGTTTAGTGAGGCCATTATTGGATTGGGGGTGTTGTGATGGTTTGGTTGTGGGAGTTGCTCTTCTACTTCCGTCAATGTGATGCACATATATATTCTTACAATATAAATCCTTCCAAGTGAGGACGTTTGTGGGTTATTTAAGTCAGGGTAAAAAATACCCTGGATCCCCTGTGGATTTATGAGAGTTTGTCTACTTAAGTCTTAAGTCCCTTTAAGTCCGGATTTGTCACCTGCATTAGAAGATCCGAAACAGATGTACAGGCATATGGAAACGCCAAGGAATTAGAAAGTGATGTACGATTCTATTTAAAGTTTTTAATTACAACAATGACAGCATTAAAGCGGGTTCAAGGTATACACTAAAGATTCATCACATAAGACATAGAAACAACTTGCTATCCAATAAGAAAAACCCTTGCATACATATTAAATAATATTAACTTAAAAATAAATCTTCACTGTGATAGGTGGATTATTCCTCTAAATGACAGGCTTACAGCGCGTAGTTTTGATGAAGCATACAATATAAGCATACAGGTGTCAATTATGTTTGTAACCTTTTAGAGTATTTTATGAATCGTAAGGTGTCCTTGGGCGCAGTGAAAGGCACCTCCAAATACAATTTTATTAATGTTCTTATTATTAATGATATCAAATAATATCAATGTAGACCACATCAATCTTGATAAATTACTTTTATTGACCATTCCAATTGTCATTAAATTTTCTGTCGAATAAATAATAGACTATTTCAACTTGTCACGGCAGGAAAAAGCAAAGATTTGATTAATCACAACAACGATGGCTCCGTTCAATTAGTTGTCCCAGTAAACCTTGACAGTAATACAGTAGGCACAATATCAGCACCTTGAATGTGATACACATGAATAGAATGCTACCATTATAAAATCATTAAATACAGCTATGCATTTCCTGCTATGACATTTTCTAGATGTCTGTTGTGAGAAGCTCTGTTATTGATTAATGAATTGATCCTTTTTAGCAGTACGAGTCCTTTTTTGTTAAGCTGTATTTCAACAGTTTAGGGTTATTCGTTCTAATAAGATTAGGGTCGGTTTTTTTGGAAAATACATTTGGGTTCCATGAAGACACGTTGTTGGTTTCCATGAAGTGATGTGGAAGGTTTAAAGGAGAAAGGGCTTTAGTCTGGAATTAGCTTAATTGCTTCATTATTTATTGATGAGAAGTGCTTGGACACACACTATCTCTCTCTCTCATTCGTCTGTGATCGGCGTACATGCTTGCTATTAGTAACGCTTATACTACATACAACACGAGGGCTGCTTGACTGAGGATTTCTCTGGATTACTCTTTAATATAGGGACAATATACAGTATAGCTGTGTGAAGGCTCAGTGCATTTGTGCGGAGGCGTGTGGCGCAGTGGTTAGATCTTTGGTCTCGGGATCAGATGGTCACAAGTTCAAACCCTACTGCAGTCAGCATGTTCTTGTGTTCCATGTAATGTAATGTAATGTGCGGAGCCCTTTAAATGTATGTATGAAAATGCAGTTTGCCAGTGTTGACATACACAGCTGCAAGAATTAGGATTTGTTTTCTTTAGATCCCCTTCCTTTGCAAACATCTGCTGTGTTCACTTGATGTCATTATTGAGGCACTAAGCACTCGACTTCCCTTTTCCCTCTCACGCGCGCTAATGTTGATCTTCCCCCTTTCTAACGCTCACCTTGTCTGCTGCCACAAATATTTGAAATCTTACATGAAAATCAGCTTCACTTGCATTTCAGTGATCTGATCATGTGTGCATATTTTTCTACGCAATAATATATTAAATGTGACAATTTTTGACGAGGGGAGTTTTAAATAGTCTCTACTTCGCATGCCTGCTTATGTGGTAAACCTATAATTACCTGGAATTATTTTTAGTTTGCCCCCCGCTGCTTCGTACAGACCTGGATTAAAAAGCATCTGCAAATCAAAGACTGAGTGTTTTAAAAATCAAGCGTGAAGCTTTTGCAAAAACGATTTAGTATATACTTTTTGTATGCCTCATGTGAGCCTCTTTTCTAGTAATTAAATCTAGTGCTGAAACCCTGACTTAAATAATCAATTAGCTTATAAACATAAAATAACATTATTTTGATAATCAATCAATCAATCATGTATCAAGCAAAAATGTCAAACAACAGCTTCAGATGCATACATTTGAGGATGAGCAGATTTTTTCTGTTTGTTTGATTGTGAATTGAATATTCTTTGCTTTAGTGGTGTTGACTTGTCATTAACAAAACAGTCAATTGAAAGAAATCATCCCAAATTGAACATGCTATCTGCTGTATATTCTGAATTAATAACACAAACTACAGCTATACTACACTTTATCATTTTAAAGTGTTATATATATATATATATATATATAGACATATTGGTAGTTGCATCCATGATAAAATACTATATCCTGCATATATTTCAGGATTAAAACTTAATCAGTAAATACTGTATGTCCACTTTCTGCCATTTGATATTTCAGTTATTTATTTTTAAATAAAAATAGGTGTTTGGAAGATATAGAGCGATAGAAGATAGGACACGATCAATCTATCCAAACTTCACTTTTAGATTGAGAAGAAGCCTGAGCTGGTAAAACAACAGTTAACCATTGATTTCTTTCCTCCTTCTTTATACTTGGGGCAGACACCAACTTGATCTTTATCCCACATAATAACAGCCCTGGAAGAATACTTTTGTTTTTGCTTGGTATTCAAAAAACACTCACACACGGTGACCTTTAGTGGCAGCTTGGGGGATTTTGGCAATCCAGTACATGGCCGTTATGACGCCACACACACACCACACACACACACACACACCACACACACACACACCACACACACACACACACACACACACACACCACACACACACACACACACACACACACACACACACACACACACCAACACACACACCACAACACACACACACACACAGCTTA